CTTCTTGGGTTCTTTTTAAAGACAATGCAGTAAAGTGTATTTACCTTGTTGACATGTTTCTGCTGCCAGTGTTAGGAAGGTGACTTTTAAAATGTATTCCCCTACAGATTACAGATTACATACACCCAAAATGTAGTTTGTAACATAATCCATTAAATTACTTAAAGTGAGTAATGTAATCTGAATACTTTGGATTACTTGATTTGTTGTAGAGAAACAAAGACCAGGAAATCTTCACATAAGATGTTTTGTCTGTTAAAAGAAAATAAAAAGCCCAGACTTTACTGAACCAAATTAAAAATATTATTGATTGAAGAAGAGGAGACACGGGCCACACGGCATGTTTAGTCCTGTTAAATCCTGTTTGAGACCTGGTTTAGACCTGGTTTAGACCAGGTTTAGAACTGGTTTAGTGTCCAGCAATGAGTGGAATTACCGAAAAAAAAAGAAAAAAAAAAAAAGAAAGGGAATAACCCAAAATGTGAAAACAGGAAAATACCTCTGTGTAATCCATTTATTTCAACCAAGTAACTGTAATCTAATTACCACTCACTGAAACTGTAACTGTATACAGTTACTCATAATTTGTACTCTGATTATGTAACTCTGGTACATGTAATCTGTTACTCCCCAACACTGTCTGCTGATGTAAAACATCTTCAGATCTGTCCCCGGTGTTGGTGGTGACGTGTCGTACATCAGTAGTTGTTACTTCCTGTAGATGTGGTCAGACCTGGCGTTTCGCTCAGACTGACCACGCCTCCCGTCGCCCGGTGTCTCTGGAGGAGGGTGTCCCAGGTGTGTGAAAGGAAGGAACGCTCCGTCATCTCGGTTAATGCTGTCCGTGCCTCGTTTCCTGATTTCACTGTCCTCCCTGATTCAGCCTTTGAACTTGTTGTTTTCTGATCCAATGACCCGAGCCCCGTCCCAATCCATAATGTGGTTGTTCCTTTAATCGTGCTTTCTTGGCCTTATTAATGATTTGTTTTGCATTATGGGTTGGGATCGGGGTCTTGATGTTAATGCTTGATGGTGTGATGTTCTCGTCTCTGCATCGGAGGTTGAATCGTAGGTGGTTGTTATATCGTTTTGTGTTTCTGTTTATTAGATATGTTGTTTCGTTTTTCTATTGTTTTTGTTTTGCGACTTGTTGTTTTCTTTAGATGCTAAGGATCCCCCTTGAAAATGAGGTGACTCACTTTAAGGGGCTTTTCCTTAATAAAATAAATAAACTATGTAACTTTTTGGTTTCTTGCTCTTGTTTCTTGTATTAAACAGATCTACATTTATTCAATTACAGGTGATTTTATAGCTCAAAAATACTTATAAAAACGCATTCTGACTGTGAGCGGGGTCGCCTCTCCACAGATCTGACCTGTAACTTGGCCTGGTTTCGTCTCCATGAAGATAGAAAGGTTTAAAGTCGTTCTTTAAATATGTGTCACAGGTGAACTGTTTACTACCATCACTGTGCACTTCCTCCCTGGTGAAGTGTCCCTCTCTCCACACTCGCACACAAACACACTGCTTATTGTTCATTTACAAATGTTTAATTGGTAAAATTCTGTTCTACCTCAGCTCGCTCCTGCACATCCACAGCTCCAGACACACTGCACAGCTTTGGGCTGTTCCTCATTTCAGTTCTGCAGCAACTGACTGGAACCACAGACTTTAAAATGTACCATATTTTTTTGGGACAATAGGCGAGTTTCAGTTGACGTCATTGTTTTTAAAAGCCCGTGTTGCATGCTGGGAAATATTTTGGTCGGAGGCAAGAAACACGGTAGTGGCCAAACACAGTGCGTAACCTCGTGTATTTATCCCCGATAATGGTAAATTCCTGCTGCATTATCGGATGCACAAATAAAAGCACGGAAGAAGAAAAATGTCTTTTTCATATTCTGAGTGAAAAGAACCACTAACGGTGAATTAAACGACTTTCAAACATTCGCAGAGCAAACGTAGAAGATCCTAACAAACCATGGACTCCAACAAGTTCAACAACACATCGAGACTCTTGTAGTGTAACACCTGGAATTTACAGGTAGCTTTAATAACAATAATAATTTATTTACAAAAATATTAAAAGGTGCTTTTAACAGGTGAGGATACTACTGCAGGGGTGCGGCTCCACCCTAAAGCTGGGGTGAAGGAGACATGCTATAAAGTGAGAAAACAAACAAGATTAATACAAAGAAATCCGTGACCACAACTGAAAACACCCAATTACATGTGCCACCATCACCAAGAACTATAAATAAGGTCACCCTCTAAGTGAGCCCCCCTCACACCCAGACACCTCCAGCCCACACCCACTGCAGAGCTGGAACAAATCAACAATCAGCTCCAACTAAAACTCAAAAACGGCAACCAGCACTGAGCTTCTCTGATCTGGATTGTTAAAACCCAGAAATAGCCGTGTGTTAGGCCTGCTCAGGAAGAGGAAGTCACCTGGTTCCCCTCTGACCTTTGTGTCCTGCCCTGATCAACAATCTGTCAGATCATGTTTACTGGAGAGAATTACACAAGAATTACTCTCTATATATATATATATATATATAGTACTGTGCGTGACTATTACATGAACTTCTGTTTGATATTTTGAGCTTCATTTGTCTGGAGTTATGGGTGACGACACACACCTTTAGTCCATTTCTTTAAACAGTGTGTGAGCAGTGTTGTGAAGGTGACTTTTAAAATGTAATCCCCTACAGATTACAGATTACATACCCCAAAATGTAGTTTGTAACAAAATCCATTAAATTACTTAAGGTGAGTAATGTAATCTGAATACTTTGGATTACTTGGTTTGCTGTAGAGAAGCAAAAGTCCAGACTTTACTTAACCAGATTAAAAATATTATTGATAAAAGACGAGGAGACACAGTATGATTTAGTCCTGTTAAATCCTGTTTGAGATCTGGTTTAGTCCTGGTTTAGTCCTGGTTTAGTCCTAGTTTTAGTCCTGGTTTAGACCTGGTTTAGACCTGGTTTAGTCCTGGTTTAGTCCTGGTTTAGTCCTGGTTTAGACCTGGTTTAGTCCTGGTTTAGTCCTGGTTTAGTCCTGGTTTAGACCTGGTTTAGTCCTGGTTTAGTCCTGGTTTAGTCCTGGTTTAGTCCTGGTTTAGTGTCCGGCAATGAGTGGAATTACCTTGGAAAAAAAAAAAAAAGATATAGCCCAAAATGTGAAAACAGGAAAATCCTGTCGTGTAATCAGTTTATTTCAACCAAGTAACTGTAATCCAATTACAACTAACTTAAACAGTAACTGTAACTGAATACAGTTACTCATAATTTGTACTCTGATTATGTAACTCTGATACATGTAATCTGTTACTCCCCAACACTGTGTGTGAGGTACAGCGTGTCGTCTTTCACAAGTTTCTGGCCTCAGAGCGTCACAAACTCTGGCACTAGTACCGACTTGTGCCACTGGGGAGAGCTGCTGCTAAACATCCCCACTAACCTACTAATACTACAAATGTCACAAAACTACTAATTCAAACTCCATTTCGATAATACGGAATAGACTTGATACTCAGTACTGATTCTGATACCACAATGATGATCAGAATAATAATTACAAAAAAAAAAAAAAAAAAACTTCTTTAGACAATAGAACGTGATTTTCCACATTAAAGGGAAGTACTTTCTTTTCTTTTCCCATGTGGTCTCACAGTGGTAGGTTCTACAGTTGTCCATGGGGTATATTAAGGTGGTCCAATTTATATATATATATATATATATATATATATATATATATATATATATATATATATATATATATATATATATATATTATATATACTCTAGATTAGAACCCTGCATTTGGTTCCGTATCTGACCAAAAATATTTGACTCAAGACTTTTGAAAATTATCTATACTATATCATAGAACCAAATAAATAAGGTCTATTTGAATAATTTGTCGTTTTATTTTAACATAAACTGAAAAAAATAATTTAAAAGTCCTATAAAAGTTTCTTAGAAAGTCCAGAAAGTCCAGAAAAAGATATTATATTATTTAGAAAGTCCAGCTGCACTGTGTCTTTGACTCCTGCAGTAGATCCTGGCTCTTCATTCTTTTCAAAGCTTGAATAATCTTCACCCCTTTTCAGCAACATCATTGACAAAATGTACAGTTTTCTGCATCATCAGCCCAGTCTGCTGCTGGAGAATTGTTCAAAATGTTTTTGGCAGATCAAGAGCTGCTGGTGACAAAATCCCTGATCTGCTCCTTCATAATCTGCTTGATTAAGAGCATCACGTCGCTTTAGTAGAACATCTGAACCTTCCTTTTCCATAATCATCATCAGCTTCTTCTGTTCTTCTGTCACACTGCAGTGGAAGAATGCCAGGAAAAACATTTCTTCAAGTACCAAAGATGTCGCCCAAAGCTGTTCAGGTGTTTTCTTCACAACTGAATGTTCAGCTTCTTGAGGAAAACCAAATCATCTGCAGGAGCTTCAAAACTTCATGCAGACCTGCAGACCATGGAGCAACCTCTGAAACATTTCATTTTTTTTCCAAATTTCTTCCTAAATCATCTTTTGGTGCTAAAACCTCATGCAGGGTTCTAATCGAGATTATGTGAAACTTTATTTTTGATCATGCAGTGATGGATCACCTTAGTGTGTACCAGTCTCTACTTTCTACTTCTTCTACTTTCTGCTTCTACTTCTGATACAGCTTCAGATCTAAAGCTATTCAGGAAAGGTTTCTGTCCTGTGAAAGGGACTCTTCAGTAGATTGTTATTCAGCTTAGATTATAATCGTCTTCATGACTTCAGACCTCAGATCTCGGTTACAGTGGTCATGTTCTGTTCTAGTTCTGTTCTGTCGTTTCCTCGGAAAGGGGCGTTCCAGATCGATAGTCCCTGCAACTTTGCGTGATTCTCGTCCCGTGCTGACGTCACTACTTATTTGACTCGCACTGAGCTCTGATTGGCTCCTTCAGAGTTGCCTTTCCCCGTGGCGCAGCGGCCTGTCTCATGCGTAAAAGCGCGGGGGTTCCTCGGCGCTGCGTTTCCTGCTTCTTCTGTTACGCTTCAGTCTCACGGGTGAATATAAAAGCCCAACACGAGTTTCAATCTCTGAGTCACTTGAGTTTAAGAGCTGGTGCAGGATTTTGCCTTTTTAACGAGTACTAGGTTGGATCAAACCATTCTCAAACCCCCCCGCTACCGGCGTCTCCTCTTACTCAACCGATCCATGATGTAACTTTCGCCGGTACTGATCTGACCGGCTTCGTTCGCGGGGAAAGGAACTTATTTAGACGGATTATAATTCTGTGACAATGTCTCGGCTTTGTGAGAACCACACTGGACTTTAAGCCCCCGGAAGACAGCCCCAGCCCAGCTCCGAGAGAGGAGGACACGATGAAGCCAGCGCGTCGCTGCTCGGCTCTGGCCCGGCAGCTCTGGAGCTCCTCACGGGGAGCCACGTCTCCAGAGGCGGGCGCACGGAGCTGTCACCGCGGCGTGAGCTCCAGCCGCGCCCCGCTCTCAGCCGTCCGCGCAGGAAGCACCGACACAGGTAGGCCCCGGTGTCCGGTGTACCCGGACACGAAGCAGACAGACTCGACTAAGACACGAGACAACACGACTCGACTAAGACACGAGCCACAGACTCGACTAAGACACGAGCCACAGACTCGACTAAGACACGAGCCACAGACTCGACTAAGACACGAGCCACAGACTCGACTAAGACACGAGCCACAGACTCGACTAAGACACGAGCCACAGACTCGACTAAGACACGTGTATCAGAGGGGCTTTGGACGGATGTTCTTGGCCGCTAAAAAAACATCTGTCTTCCTTCATTTCTTTCTTCTCTTTCTTCTCTCTCCCTCTTTTTCTTCTTTTCATCTCTCTTTTTGTGTCTCTTTTTTTCCTTCTCCCCTTTTCTCTCTTTCTTTCTTTTCGGTCTCTTTCTTTTTTCTACCCTCCCTCCCTCCATCTCTCTTTCTTTCATTCTTTCTTCTCTCTGTCTTTCTTCTTACTCTCTCCCTCCATCTCCTTCTTTCTTTCTTTCTTTCTGCTCTCTCTTTCTTTCTTTCTTTCTTTCTTTTTCTTTCTTTCTTCTGTCTTTCTTCTCACTCTCTCCCTCTATCTCCTTTCTCTCTTTTTCTTTTTTCTTCTCTTTCTTTCTTTCTTCTCTCTTTTTTGTTCTTCTCACTCTCTTCTTTCTTCACTCTTTTTTTTTTCTCTCCCTCCCTCCATGTCTCCCTATTTCTTTCTTTCATTCTTCTCTCTCTGTCTTTCTTCTCACTCTCTCCCTCCATCTCCTTTCTTTCTTTCTTTCTTTTTTCTTTGATTTTTTTTCTTCTCTCTGTCTTTCTTCTCACTCTCTCCCTCCATCTCCTTCTCTTTCTTTCTTTCTTTTGTTCTTCTCACTTTCTTCTTTCTTTTTTCTCTCCCTCCCTCCATCTCTTCGTCTTTCTTTCATTCTTTCTTCTCTCTCTTTCTTTCTTCTCACTCTCTCTTCTTTCTTTCCTTCTTTCTTTCTCTCCATTTCTCTCTGTGTCTGAGGCTCTGACCGTCAGGAGTCACTTTGAATTTCACATTTGGAGTTTGCTTGTGTTTGACCGTGGACCTGTTCCTGGATCAGTTTCAGTTGTCTGTCGCTATGGCAACCATCCTAATTTCCCATCGTTCTTCAGCCCGCAGACGTCTTATGGACGTACTCATAAAATTTCTTTGAGTTTGATGTTGTTAATCAGTGTTAAGTGTCACTTTGTTGACACATGACGCTCAGTTTGTCACAGTTTGTCTTTTGAAACTCGACACATGTTCTGTTCTTCTCTACCTCAAATAGATCCAGGAACAGGACAGTAACCTGAGCGCTCCCTCGCTCCCCTCGCTCCCTCGCTCCCTCGCTCCCTCGCTCTGCTGCTTCATGTCTGGGTGAGGGACAGGTGCTGGCAGGTGCAGACAGGTGCAGACAGTTCATTGACATATCTGACATCCCTCCCTCTTTCTCTTGTTCTTTCTTTCTTCTCACTCTCTTTCTTTCTCTATTTCTTTCTTTTCGGCCTCTTTCTACCCTCCCTCCATCTCTCCCTCTTTCTTTCTTTCATTCTTCTCTCTCTCTCTCTCTTTCTTCTCAACGTCCCTTTCTTTCTTCTCGCTCTCTCTTCTTTCCTTCTCTATTTCTTTCTTTTCAGCCTATTTCTACCCTTCCTCCATCTCTTTCTTTCTGTCTCTCTTTCATTCTTCTCACTCTCTCTTCTTTCTTCTATCTTCCTTTTTTCTCTCCCTCTATCTCCTTTCTTTCTTTCATTCATTTTGTTCTTCTCACTCTCTTCTTTCTTCTATCTTTCTTTTTTCTTTCCTTCCCTCCATCTCTCCCTCTTTCTTTCTTTCTTTCTTTTCGCTCTCTCTTCTTTCTTTCTTCATGTCTGTGTAAGGGAGAGGAGGGACAGGTGCAGACAGGTGCAGACAGGTGCAGACAGGTGCAGACAGGTGCAGACAGGTGCAGACAGGTGCAGACAGTTCATTGACATATTGATTTAAACTGTGTGACTTGACTGACCTGTTTTCTTGGTTCTGTTATGAAACGTACTTGTACTTTCTAAGTGGTTCAGGTTGTCGGTTTGACCCCGGCTCATATCACATACTGTTGTTGTGTCCTTGAGCAAGACCTTTGACCATTGTGCCTATTGGAGCATAGGACAGGTTTTCATGTGTTACTATTTCTGACTGGGCTAGTCCTGCTTCCTGTTTAAACCTTCATTTAACTAAATAAAGGAGTCAGGGTCTAATTTTAGTCGTCTTATCATAACTGTTATGTAATTCAGACAAACTGTGGCCCATGTTGACTCTACAGTTTCTTGGTAACAGAACTGGACTGACCTCTGTGTTTGTCACATCTGCAGCCCGTTTAACCACGAAGGGAAATTAGAACTTCACCGGGATTTAAAAACGAGTCAAACAGTGATGTTGACTGTTTTAGCGAAAGAGTGAGCGACTGTGGTTGGAAAGTCCCCCTGAACTGTCCCCTTTATGAAACTAAATTAATCTATACACTAAAAAAATCATGATTATTCAAACAAATTTTTTTTGTTACATGATGCATTTATTCAGCAATTCTCTCTTTCAAAAAAAGAAAAACTTATTGATAATTTACACAAAACTTTCAAATTGAAAATTAATATAGGCTACAAATATGTACCTTAGAGCAGTTTTGCAATGTATAAAACATAAAATGAATATATAAAACATGTATAAAACATCAAATTAATGTATAAAGCATGTATAAAACATGAAATGACAATACAAATTGCGATGTTTAAAACATAAAATGAATAAATAAAATATACAATGAACATGAAATAAGGCCTAGAAAAACATAAATGTTTCCAAAATAAACTATATATCCAGCTCTTCTACAGTCTGTACACTGATTTTTTTAACTCAATATATCACATACTAAAGGCCAGCGAGAGCGTCCCCCCTCTCCCGGGCACAGCAGGTACCAGTGTGCCACCTGAGAGAATGGGACACTCGCTCTGGGACTTTGAAGCCAGGGGGACGCTGGAGCCCGCTGTGCCGCCTGCTGGGGGTCAGATGACACAACATTCTGTAGGTCAATAGTGTTTAATACAGACGAGGCTGTTCAAATGAATCTAGTAAAAATCCAGAGTTCATTGTAATACAGTGAGTTCATGGCTCTAGTCCAGGGGTGTCAAACTAATTTTGGTCCCGTGGGGCCGTATCCAACCGACTTTGATTCCAAAGGGGCCGGATCAGAAAACTCATGTCATATAAACCCCAAAAATATCAATAAATTGAAATATTTGTGAAGAGAAACACAAATCTATTACAGAAATCTTTTTTTAATTGGTGAACTTTCTTTTATATTATAACAAATTGAAGAAAAATCAATTTTTGTTTTAACATGAACTTTTTTGAAATGGGAATGTAAATGTGCACTCGGCTCGTTGGACATTTTCGAAGAATGAAATTTTTCTTAATTTTCTTAATCAATCGTCGGAAGAATCAATGATCGATTATCGATTAATCATTAACGTTTTTATATTAAAATGATCATCATTATTATTACTATCTGCACTACTAATCTGCATAAATAAATTCAACATTACGACATATAAACCGTAACCACTCTAGAGCCACATCAGCCCGTTTGACATTATAATGTGTTTAATTCAGTTTTGCACAACTCTCACAGAAACAAAACTTAAAACCACATCACTAATTTGCATAAACTAAGCGAAGATAAAACTCCAGCTCTTGTGTCGCTGATGTGGTTCAATTTCTGTCAGATTAAAAGACATGACTCAGTGGAATACAGATTAGTGTGACCAGATTTGTGTTTGTCAAAACCAGGACACCGTACGGGGGGAGGGAGGTGGGGACTCATCATCCACATTGAGCGACTCTCACCTGGTGAAACTTTTTCCCACTGGACACCGACACATATGTGCTGCTTTATACACTGTGCACATGGACTCACACTTGTCCCGAACGCAACGGAAAGCGTGGAATTTCTTTGTTTGTTTGTGTCTCGCTCCTTCTGAGTGCAGAGAGCTACATGTACAGACCCCTGTTTGGTCACACTACGCACAGCAACCTACATTCAGTTTGTCGATTTAAAATTAACGTAATCGATGAAATTCTTAATCAATCTTACCAGTTATCGATTAATCGACTAATCATGCCCATCCCTATAATAATAATAATTAAAACATTTTAGTAGAAAATCTGCCGAGGGCCAGATTAAAGGTCTTGGAGGGCCGGATCTGGCCCCCGGGTCATATGTTTGACACCCCTGCTCTAGTCACTAAAAGAAATGATCACGTTCATTATTTGTAAAGTGCGATGTCAGCAGGGAAATCTGTGTTTGAAGGGCAACTGTGGAGTGAATGAATAGTCTGTACGGTGTGTCTGAGTGTCCAAAAAGCAGGCGATAAATCAAATATAAATATGACCAAGACAATGGTGTAGTTTCAAATCCGTTTATTTTATTGGTCAATACTTTGCCCAAAATAATATAAATGCAAAATCCTTTTGGAGTTTTCTACCGCATTGTAACATTGTCCCCTGATGAAAAACATGCCTGAAGAGGTTTTAGATGTCATCCATGCATGTTTACTCTCCTTCCAGTTTTGGCTGTAAGATTCTGTACAAGGCTCCGCCCACAAGTCTGCGTCACCCGTGCTCCCACACGACAAAAAACTGGTACAAAACTGTACACGGCAACTTGACAAACCTGATGCGATGTGCAGTAGTTTCATTAGCGGGATGCTCGCTGATTGTGTTGTGATGGCGCTCTGAAGGGGGAGCAAATTGGCACAGAGAGGGACTAATGTTGCTTTTGGTGAATATAGCATTTTGAAAACAATAAAAGGTATCGTGGTGCTTTAAATATGTGACGTGGTACAGTTAAGGCCCCGTAGATGTAAAAAGGCGCCTCTTTAATGACTTCTCGGAGCTCTCGTGTGTGTGTGTGTGTGTGTGTGTGTGTGTGTGTGTGTGTGTGCGCGTGTGTGTGTGTCTCTTTCGTGACACAGT